GGGCTGGCGGGCGGTCCTGGCTCCCGCTCCGGGTGTTCTCCTGGCCTCGGCTCTCCCCTGCCGGTACGGGCGCTCTGATTCCCCCACCCCACCCCCCGCTCCCCCACCCGGGGGCTCGAAGGGAAAACTGAATTCGCAGGAAGTGGGCTCGAGTGAGCGGCTGGACGGCATTCGGATCGGAGCGAGGAGTGCCCGGCGAGAGGGTCAGGCCGGGGCCAGTTCGGGCCCCGCTTTGTTCCACGCGAAGTTCGCCAGCGATGATTGGTAAGACCTGGGTGAATCGCCTTGATTCAGACTTAGCTATATTTACTGTTCAGTTACTTATGCAACTTGACTCTAATTGGACCTTCCAACATCCTCCTCACTTGCTACCTATATGTAAATGTTAGTGACTTCTGTTTCAATGAATCTGAAGAAGTGTGTGTGTGCACATGAAAGCTTATACCTAGAATAAAACTTTGTCGGTCTTAAATGTGCCACTGGACTCAAACTTTGTTCTGCAGCTTCAGACCAACACGGCTACCCACCTGAATTTACATTGTGTATCATTTAGGAGAGTCCTGCAGACTCCCACAGAGGCCTTCTGGGAGAAGGAGGAAGAGGAAATCTGCTTCTATTAACTGTCCATTCCCAGATGGTAGAATTCAAATCAAACACTTCACCTACAACATTTCTGCAAGCTGAAAAAGTGTTAAAAATCCAGAAGCACTGCCAGCTGAAATGTACTCTGCCATCACATAGTAAATATGTTAGAGGGGTTAGGTGTTGAACAGTAGCCATAGCGGTAATTACTGTAGTGACAACTACTCTGGGACCAAAAGGCTATCAGGAGCCTGCCCTTAACCCTGTTCATAGTCTAACAGAAGCCCATCTAGGGTAGGTTCCACATACCATAGAATATTGTGCTGTTTCTAAGCATTTTCCTTTATGGGCAGGAAGTAAAGGATTAGAACAGCAAAATATTTCAACAGTATGTGAACCCAGTCTAGAGTGGCACCTTTTATAAACCCTGGAACAGGCCAGTCAAAAATTCACAGATCTGTGGGCACTAACAAAGCCAGCAAGATGTCAAATACTTCCAAGGTAGCAACACTAGCCCCATCCTTCAGAAGCTACTGATCCTAAACATACCCAGAAAGGGAAAACATATTTCCTGTTACTTTTAATGTTATTTATTGCAGATATTGCTTTAATTAGTGTGTGTGTTTATAAAGTATAAAATTATACAACTATGTAGTGTAGAAGTACAAAATCTATATTATCCTATGAACCTACATTAAAAGTTCATTTATAAATATTATTAATAAGAAATATAGTATCTTTTAAGCTACCCTGTGTCACTTAATCATGATGCCCAGGGGCTTAAGACTTTCAGAG